AATGGTTCGAAATACTTTGTAAAATTTTGAGATTGTTTTAAGATTAAAACTTAATTTACACTGAGTAAGGATTAAAAATGATCTTTGAAAGATTTGGAGTAATGTTTGATATTCGAATAGTTATATCGAATATACTTAGAAAATCATTTGGAAATATCTTAAAATTCATTTAACTTAATTTTTTATATCGAAATATCAAAATGTTTTCAACAATTATCATTTCAATCTTAAAATCATTCATTTATGTGTGTCATGATCAGCCTAACATAAATTCCCAACGAATAATTTCTCGGTATTACTTTGAAATTAACCAGTAAAATAATGGGAATCCAAGGCAATCCACCATGTTCATATTTACACTTATTGAAGCAAGTGGTTGACAAAAGACGAGACAAGAGATGACAGCAGCCCGAATAGCATAGTAAATAATGAAAAAGGCGATGACACAATTCATTCCCAGGCATATCTGCAACCGCTCTCGGGCAGAGGTACGCATAGGCTTTAGGAAATCAGTCTTTTAGGATTATGAATTAGACAAAGAGTTAGCAATGACAAAGACTTGACGAGTATAAAAAATAAACAAAGGCTTATGTGACCTTAAAACTCAAAACACGAAAATCACATCATGCATATTCAAGCATTTGCAAAATAAGAGCATACACATTCATTATATCTGATAGGAATTCAGGGAGTCAATAAAGATTGCACAAAGAAGAAGAATCAGTCCATATTTCCTTTCACCATTGAAAAAATGGATCGCATCGAAATTAAGGACCATCTGGTCATTATCTATGGGTATTCTAAATACAAATCACTAACATACGATAATCTTGTGCAGGTTTAAAAATCTCCAAAGAGAGGATAGACCAACCAACACTTCCAATGGAGAGTTCATAATGAGAAGAACTCATCCGATAAAGGGAGAAAAAGTTTAAAATGAGAAGAACTTGTTCAACCTTTGCTCGGTTCATCGTATTTGGAGTTGAATTAGCAATGCCTCACTTGAGGGATTATCATTTCCAATGGATAGTTCATAATGAGTAGAACTCATCCGATATAGGGAGAATAAGTTCATAATGAGAAGAACTTGTTCAACCTTTTCTTGATTCATTATATTTGGGGTTGAATCATCGATGCCTCACTTGAGGGATTAACATTTCCAATGGAGAGTTTATAATGAGAAGAACTTATCCGATAGAGGGAGAGTAAGTTCATAATGAGAAGAACTTGTTCAACCTTTGCTCAATTCATCGCATTTGGAGTTGAATTAGCGACGCCTCACTTGAGGGATTAACATTTCCCATGGATAGTTCATAATGAGAAGAACTCATCTGATAGAGGGAGAAAAAGTTCATAATGAGGAGAACTTATTCAACCTTTGCTTGATTCATCACATATGGAGTTGAATCAGCGACACCTCAGTTGAGGGATTAACATTTCCATTGAAGATTTCATAATGAGAATAACTCATCTGATAGAGGGAAGAAGTTCATAATAAGAAGAACTTGTTCAACCTTTGCTCGATTCATCGCATTTGGAGTTGAATTAACGACGCCTCACTTGAGGGGCCAACATTTCTAGTAGAGAGCTTGTAATGAGAAGAACCCGCAGCTTGAAGAACAGAGATTGAGCCAAAAATGGCACTTTATATCTTTGATTCATTCTCTTCTACAGCAATAAGTAAAGAGGGGCAGTTGTAGTAGCCATTTTTTCCCTTTCATCATACATACTCCATTACAACACCTTAAACGGACCCAAACATAAAACCCAAAACAACCCCAAAAATAAAACCTAAACCAGGCCCAACCCAAACCAGCCCCAAAATAAAACCCAAACAGGCCCCAACCTAAAACTCAACTAGAACCTGACCTGGAGCCTACCCTAACCTAAACCTAACCCTAGTGTGGCCGCCCCCAATCACCCCATCAACTACCGTCGATCCCTGCACCAAACAGTGGAAGATCGCTCCTGTACGCAACCACCCAACACTCCACGCTACCTGCAGAAAATAGCAAACAAGATAACAAAAATGCAATGATTTTCTTTTCTCTGTAATGGGTATAAAACCCCAAACCAAACAATGTAGAGGGATCTTTTTTTACTCATTTTTTTGATAAGCAATACAAGGCAAAGATTAGTTTGAAGGTATACTTTTTTCTTTTTCTTTTCTATTTTTTCAATCCCGAATAGTAGCGAAAAGAGACCTTTTTCTTTCAAATAACAGCAACAACAAAAAACTTTCCTTTTTAGTTTCAAATATTAGTAAAATAAAAAGAAAAAAATCTTTTTAGTTTCGAAAAATAAACAACAAAAATGTTTTTTAGTTTCGAAAAAACAATAAACAACAATAGTAGAAAACAATTTTTTTAGTTTCGAATAACAATGAAGATAAAATGAAGCCTCTTTCAGTCGAAATAAAACAACATCCAAGCTTTTTCGCAGTAAAAAAATAGAAAAAAAAAGGAAGGGTTTAGATCTAGTTACCTGAGTTTTAAAAGGGCTTCATCGGAGGTCGTCGAAGTTGGGGAACTGAAATGTCTAGGGGAATTTTTTTGGGCTTTTAGGGAGTTTTTTGGTATTTTTGCCTCCAAACAGAGGCCTCTGTTGGTAGATCAGGGGCTTTGGGTCTTTTTAGGTCAGTTTAGGAGTTTCAATCGCCGTGTGTGGCGACTGGAGCGGGATGCGAGTCGACCGAAAGTGGGCCGACCGAGGGAGAGAGGAGAGAGGAGAGGATTTTGTTAATTTTTTTATTTTTTGGTGTAAAATGAAAACAAAATTGTATATATAAGTAGAATTTAGGGTAAAATCATGCTTAGGTCCCCATAGGTTTAGCGCATTTTTACATTTTGGTCAACTGTAAGGACCAAATAAGTTATTTTTCTTTTTCCATACATGTTATATAATGATTGGTGGCAATCCTCACATTTCAGAACATTTTCAAAGAAAAACTCCTAAGTTAGTACTGGTCTTTCCCCGCCCGGGCTAAAAAACGGTGTCAACAGTCACCAACAATCGATTATTTTTATTCTTTTTTAGTTTTTTAATAAGAATAATTATGTCTTTGTGGAACATTTATCTCTTTGTGGAACATTTTTTTCTATATTTGTGGAACGTTTTTAGTTTGACGATGTCACGACTGATCAATGTGGCGCTTATTTATAATATTGCTTATCTTCCCTAATATGGACCCTCAAATTGAATTTGGATACATAATTTTGCGTTCGTGTATAATTTTCTCACTACATTGGACCCTGATTTGTGATTCTTGGTGATCTTTCAATAGCTTAATCCTTTCTTGTGAATTGTCTCCCAGTACAGTCATATTTATTTGTATCTATTTTTCATTCGATTCTTTTGATTGAATTTTTAACCTTTTCAATGTATGGCCTTGTATGATCTAAAGTGACTGATTTGTTTTGTCAATGTTATAAGAAAATATTCAAATTATGTGTTTAGTTTACAATGATAGTTACAAACTCTTATTATGATTTTGGATATTTTCACTTTTTAACCACATGAGAGATTTCTATTAAAAAAATGTTTAATTAGTGTATATCTATACGTTGAGAGGATATCTCAACTATATATATTTGATAGGTTGAAACTTTTGACAAAAGTGTTGTGAAAAACAATATAATTCAATTGTTTGGTTTGAGAACTAATAATCATCCATGAAAAATTTGGGTCAAATTTAGATTTTTGAAGTAGAACTTAAATGAGAGTGGAAACTAGCCAAACCTACCCATTCATTTACATCTCTCATAAAAAAAGTTAAATTATGATTTTGGTCCTTTTACTATACTCAACTTTAGTTTTATTTCCTATATTCTTTTTTTTAAAAAATAGGGTATCCACCATCCATAGCAGTAATTAATCTCCTTGTTAATGGTTGACCATTAAATATATTTCATTCTCATAAATAAGGATCAAATCTCGGACTGCATAATTTAGATATAAATTAAATAAACAATCACATTATACCTCAATTTAGCTCTATTTGGTATCTACTTTTATAATACCATTAGTTAATACAAATATTTAATATAATTAATTATTGAGTAAAGTACACAACCAGTCCCCCAATTATAGGGTATTGCTTTGTTAAGTCCCCGACTATTAAAAGTTACAAAATGATTCTCTAACTATATAACGTCGCTTTGTTGAGTGTATCGACTATTAAAAGTTACAAAATTGTCGTCTTACTATTCATATATTCCAAACTCGTACTTTTTCGGTAAAAAAAATTAACAATCATCTAATATGAACGTTAACTTGTTAACCAGGATCAGGTTTTAACATATCTCAGTCAGTAGGTTAAAGTCCACCATTTGTGTACTTAACGCTTAATTATTTTGGTTTAAACTCTAGAGTATTTCTTCATTAAAATGATTTTTTAATATAAAAAATCATGTTATCATGATAAACTAAAGGGTAGAGTACATGTTTAGTACCTCAACTATCACTTTTGTTTCGTTTTGGTCACCTAGCTATTTTTTTTCAAAATCATACCTAATGTTACATTTTGGTGATCATTTTGGTCATCCACCATTAAAAAAAATAACAGAATTACTGATAACACATTTTTTTATTTTTTTTCAATGATGATGTGCATCAACTTATGATGACACATCAACACCACTATTAATTTTTTAATGGTGGGTGACCAAAATTAAACTAAAACTAAACTTTAAGTATGATTTAAAATAGTTGGGTGATCAAAACATAACAAAAGTAATGGTCGGGCTACTAAATGTGTAGTTTTCCGTAAATTAACAGAGTTGTGTTGTTACTGAAATCATTAATAACTTGGATTAAGTAATGGTCTTATAAAACTAAGGGGATCATATTATGTCAAATTAAAATATAAAAAAATCTTAAATTTGGACATAGTATAGGGATGAAAAACTAATTAGACCATTATAATAAATATATAAATAATCTAACACCACACACTCATTTATAAAAATAAAAACAAAAATTTCTTAATCAAAACTCCCTTTTTCTTCCCTCACTTTTAAACCTTTTATTTTTCATTGTAGTTTTACCCTCTTGCTTCTTCTGCTCTTCATCTTCTTCATTTTTCTTCGTTCTTTCTTTCTTCATTATTGTTTATATGTCGTCAAATGAAAATAACAATTCGCAACACAACTATGATCCTTTCCAAGGATTCAACCGGGCAACCTTTCCCTTCTTTGACGACAACAATCCTTGTATTTATAACCAATCTGCAGCTCCAACATCAGCAGTAATACATGCCTTGGATCCTTCATACATGAGCTTCACCGACTGCTTAAATGGCGGCTCCGTCGTCGACTACAACATCTTTTCGAGAACCTTTGACATGTCTTGTTCTTCATCAGATGTTGTTAGTCGCATGGATGAAGGTACTACTAACACCAAGAAAATCGGCATTTCTGCAGAGAATTCAGTGGGGGATAATCAAAATCAGAATCAGAATATTTCTGAAAACCTATCAACACCCAATTCCTCAGCGTCTTGTTCCTCTAATGAAGACCAAGATTCGAGCAAGGCTAAGAAAGATAAGCAGCCAAAAGGGTCTGAAGACCAAGGAGATGACAAGTCAAAGAATGTGTAGGTTCTTTTTCTTCTTCTTCTGGGCTTACTTCTCTTCTGGGACACTTTGGTTTCTTGTTTTCTGGTTTCTGGTTCAAAGGATTAGTACTCGCGTTCATACTAGCTACCTACTGTCATAGATTTAACAAAATTGAAATTTCAGGATCGAAATATATATTGGTTTATGATTTTGAATGTTCTTAGTCCTGACAAAAAAACATTAATTATTTCTAAAATCACCTTGACAGAAAACGCGTTATTTTCTTCCATTTTTTCAAAGTCTTTGAAAGCACGAACACGTGGTATTGGTTTTGATAACTTTCTTCTATTCAGACCCTAAATGATATTTTCTTTTTGTGTAAGAAATCTCAAGTTATTTTCTATGTTCTGGATTTCAACATGAATGAGCTTTTTTCCTTGAACAAAACCCTAATACTGACGTGCAATATGAAGGAACAAGGCAACAAAGAAGGAGAAAAGGCAAAAAGAGCCAAGGTTTGCGTTCCTCACAAAAAGCGAGATTGATAATCTTGAAGATGGCTACAGGTGGAGGAAGTACGGTCAGAAGGCTGTCAAGAACAGCCCTTATCCAAGGTTTCATCATGCTTCTTATATTTTAATTTCTAAACCCTAGTTTGTATTTTCCCAGTTAAATTCCTTGTTCATCATTCATATCTTTTTTTTTTGGTGATTACAAGTTAGATTTCAGCTACAATGGCTCCATTGCTGTGCAATGATTCTTGTAAACTAATATATTCTCAATGTGTCATCTCATTATTGTGAAACTTGCAGAAGTTACTACAGATGCACAAGCCCAAAATGTGGTGTTAAGAAGCGAGTAGAGAGATCATTTCAGGATCCGTCGGTGGTGATCACAACATATGAAGGAAAGCACAACCACCACATTCCGACAACTCTCCGAGGCCAAGATGCCGGGGTGTTTTCGCCTTCGATTATGTCGTCCTCGGCCGCCACAATGGATCCTTGTTTCCCTCATGAATTCCTAAGCCATTTCCTCCCATCATCCAGCAATGATCCAGCAGGAAACACCAACTCCATGCAGCAGCAGCAGCAGCAGCTTCAAATTCCTGATTATGGGTTATTACAAGATTTAGTTTCTTCCTTCACCAGCAGTCAGGTACCATGAATGAACTCTTTACTGATCTACGTGGTTACTGATTAATGAAGTTTGGGGCACTCCACTTCTTTTTCTTGTGCAATATGTTTATTATCACACTGGACATGAAGTTTGGGTTACTGACCTATGGGGTTACAAGATTTGTGTAGTATTTGTTCAAAAAAATTCTTAACCAATTGATAACACACGTACCTTGTAGATAGTTATTCGAACCCAGATCTTCTAGTGAGAACAATATTCCCTTTTACCACTAAAATCATCCTATAAATTCTTTTATCTTTTTTATCTTTAAATATTAAGGTTTGAGTTTTATCATATATAAATTATGTAGACTTTCTAGAATTTGGAGAAGACATTATAAGATTCAACACAAAATAAACATTTTTCTATTATGTATATGCAAAAGTTAACAATATATATGGAAGAAGATTATTTATACAAATTGATTAGGCTTAATTAATTTACAAATATAATAATTGATTAGACATTTTTCTGTTATGTATATGCAAAAGTTAGCAATATATTATGGAAGAAGATTATTTATACAAATTGATTAGGCTTAATTAATTTAATAATATAATAATTAAGACGTGCAGTACCTACATTTTAAGATGCCTAAGGTCTGATATGTTTAAAACCAATGTATTTATATATGTATAGCATGCCTAATTTCTTTTATGTTGATTGGGGTGGTTATTCAAATTCAATTAATTTAAAATACGTTTAAAAACCTATATGCATATGTACGAATCAAACGATTTCAATGATTAAGAAATTATTATTATCCTTTGAGGTTTCGGGTTCGAGCATCACGTATACAAAAATATAAATGTTGATTATATAATGATAGAAATTTTTTGAAAAAAATATTATCCTATATTCCCCATATATATATATATAAACTATATACATGTTAATTTGTCTATATATGTATTCCAACTCATGACAACGAAATTCATAATTTCAACAAAAAGAAGTTTGAATTTTCTCACAAATGACCATTATTTTAATTTTTAATTATTATTTTCCGAAACCTTTTCATATCTAAAGACACAAATGAATTTTAAAATGTTGGTTTGACAAACAGATGCAGATATCACACCCTTTGTCTCATATTGATTTGAAGAATAATTGATGGGTGGTGGACTTTTTTGCACTACTATCTCCATTCTTTTTATTCATATAAATTTATAGGTTAAAATAAATTATTTATTTGTATATTTATTGTTCATAGAAATTGACGTATTATTTTATATTAGAGGATGAGTTTTTAAAATTTTAAAAGGGGATAGATTTATAAAAATTTTAGGAGGGAAAATAAATTGTTAATTAAAAATAGAAAATATCTAAAATATATGATACTGTAAAATTTTCAGAGAGACGACGGTCTCTAACCACCCCTTCAATCCATCTCTAATTGTTTTTTTATTAATCTAACATGATTATAAGTGGTAATATATATTCTAAAGACTCTCTACCATTTCACAATGAATGCTCAAATATCGTGCAGTTGCTAGTGCTCGAACTCGGAACCTCTAAGAATAAGAATTAACTACTTAAGTAACTTGATTTGTGCCCATCCCTGATTGTTCGATATACAAAATAGGACATTTCTGACCATATTCAAAAGAAATTTATATAAAATGAGTTATATGGAGAGTTTTGTTTAAGTCAAAGGGGGCACCTAACTCAAGTTTATATAATAGTATTAGTAGCAATTTATATAAAGCGTTCAGATAGGTATAATTAATATTAAATACAAAAGAAATGCTTTCATACGTACCTATTTTATTTTTATATATTAAGGTTTGGATTTAATTTAATTGCTTGAGAATCCAAACCTAACCAACTTTTAGTTAATGAGCAAAACAACATAAATTCTGAAACGGTTTACGCTTAAGTTTGGTCTTGTTTTAGAGTAAATTATATTAGATATCATGAAACTATTTTTCTATTCAAAAATGTCTTTGTATTATTAAAATTAAGTTTTAGTTCTACGTGTAATTATATCACTTTACCATTAAATTTCTAACAACATGTTGACAAAACCTCTATTTTTTGTGAAGATAATAATAGGGCCAAAAAGGCATCATTGACGTCGTTTTGTGGATATTGATGCTCAAAATGACATAGTTTTAGGAGAACATGTGAACTCTTTAATTTGTATATCTATTTTTCCATTAAATTTTAAAACGGTACAATTTTAGGCATTACGCTTTCTTACTACTAACTACTAAAAAAAAGCTTTCTGACTACTATTAGGAGTCCATCCTAGCTTGTCAATTATCGTCATTCAAGGAAATATCGATATCAAAACATTCATATTTCACTCCTCTTTCTTCTCCTCAAATTGATTTTTTATGAAATTGTCTACACCGTTTTTCGTTCGGGCGGGGGAAAACTTAGTACGACTTAAGGGTTTTCTTTTAAAAGGTTTTGCAATGTGAGGAGTCGCTACCAATCATTTAAGGTGCTATTGGGACACCATAAAAACTGGGTAATTTTAATAAAATATATTATTTTTATCAAAAAACTGAGTTTAGGGTCTATAAAAATCAAGAATTTGGGTTCGGGAGTCAGTTACAAGTGGGGAAGGATTAGCACCCCCACAAGCGCCCAAAATTGGTACCTAGTTGATAACCCTATATTTAAAATCAGAAATTTTAAGTTTGATCTTTATTTAATTTGAAAATCATTACAGATGCAAAGTTGAAAAGGGTATTCGTTTATTGAGACCGATAGCATTCACTCCAAAGCGTAAATGTGGGAGATCAACTATTTTGTCTAATAATCGAATATTGCCTCGTTTTTAGAAAATCATGATGTGGTCTTTGAAAAGGATCTCGACCTATTTCGGGAATCACAAGTAGTCACCCCCTGAGCATACTTACGAGAGATGTACCATTTATTCCCTAATAAGTGAACATTGTCTTAGGTTTGAGAATAAAATGCAATCAAACAAATTTTTATTTAATCCTAATTAAGCTAAGGTAAATTAAAGATTTTTTATAACTTAAGGTGTCAAATTATGAAATTAAAGGACCTAAAGGCACAAACCTAGAAGTGTAGGTTCTAATAATAAATATTGCTTCGAATAATTAAATTGGAACCTCGAGCAAAAGCGATGACCAAATTAAGAATTCACCTAATTAAAGGAATAAATGTGAAATCAAGCCTAAGATGGAGGCTCTAATGTTAATCTTAATTAATTATGTCAATATTAAAGATCTAATCGAAGTTTGGGGACTAAAAAGTCAAAGGACTAAAATATCGGGCTCTAAAACACTAGGAGTTTAAGGACCTAAATCGATAAATTCTAAAGTTGAGGACTAAATAATAACCCAAAAAACCTAATTATTATCTAAATTATTAAAGCTAAATTTTTTAGAAAATATTAATTATTAATAAATTTTAAAATTCGAGTAATCGGACATCTATTGCGAAAACTCGACTCGAATTGCTCTCTAATTAAAACTAATGTGAAATCCTAATTTCTAAGTTTGATTCGAATATTAATCTAATTTAAAACTAAATCTAAGATATTAAACTATGAAACAAAACAATTAATATTAAAACTTAATTTAAAAAATTAAAACAATGAATAAATAAAAAAAACAAACAGAAACAACATAAAATAAAAAATAAAACAAACCTAAATATAAGGACCTAATTGCATAAATTTTAAATTACTAAACTAAAAGGGAATAGATTAAACATGCAATAGGGACTAAATTAAAACAAATAGAAATTAGAATTCTAAATTGAAATAAAATGAAAATAAACTATTAGGGACTAAAATGTAAAAACAAGCTAAAACTAAAGGGACCTAATGACAATTTTCCAATTTATTTAAGCCTAAAAATCTAAAAAATAAAAGGGTAAATTACATAATCGATCCACATAAAATTAAAAAAATAGTCACTACACATGACTAAAATGCAAAAACACGGCAATCTTGTAGGGGCTAAACGAAAATAACCTAAAAAACCAAGCATGCAGAGAAATAGGTGAAATAGTAGTTTTGGTCCCTGTATGAACCAAACTGCAAAAATATGGCAAAGTTTCAGGGGGTTAAACGTAAATAAACCCTTAATTTTTTCTATAAAAGCCAAACTATCTATTTTTCTTTCATTTTCATGCGTTTTAGAAAAAAAGGAGAGAGAAAATTAATTCTCTCTCGCCCGATTTCGGTCGTTGCAAGCTAGCACCGACCGCCGTGCACAGTGGCTGAAAACCCCCAAATCAACCCAAAACGCCCCCTAAGCCTAGATCTAACCCCCTATGATATATTTTAGGGCTAAAATCATTAAAAACCCTAAACCCTAAAACTAACCTAAACTGGCTCGAAATCCCCTTGACTTCTCGACTCCGGCGACCCTCCCTTGGTTCAGGTAAGTCGCGACTCTCTCTTCTTATTCTTCGTATTTTCTTTTTTATTATTTTTTTGTAAATATGGTTGATTGCATTCGAAATTAAAAAAAATATTTATATTATTCGATATGTTTTAGTATTACTCGAAATAAAAGTTGCTTTACTGAAATCCTAACCAGAAACAAAAACGAAAAAAAATAAAATAAAAAAGCAACTATTCGAATGATGAAAGAGAACAGAAGAAAAACCTTGGATTTTTTTGTTGTTATTATTGCTTTGAAAGAAGGGTTACATAGTTGTAAAACCAGAAGAAAAAAGAACTGACCCCCATTATATTGATATCTTTGGGTTTTTATAACCCATTTACATGCATAAAATAATAAAAAATAAAATTGTTGATTTGGTTGTGTGGTTGTTGATGAAGTGATGAGGCTGCTGGCATAGTGGTGGCTTATGGCAGGAACTGGCAGGGCATGGGAGGGTTGGTGGTCTGGTGGCAGCAGGGAATGAGCTGGGATCGATGCAGCAGGGAATGAGCTGGGATCGGTGCAGCAATAGTAATTGGGGCATTAAATGCTCCAGATATTCAAGGATTGTTTTCCCCTTTTTATTTTATTTTATTTTATTATAATTATTTTATTTTTTTATTTTTTATGGGTAAAATTGGTGAT